AGATACTGGCCGATTACCGCAATCTCAACAAGATCTCTGGCATCAAATCACAACGGAAGGACGCTATGATATCATGTGTGGCAGATCCATCAGGGAACGCACAGTATGACAGACAGGGCATTGCGGATGTGTTTGCGGAGTTTTACTGGGAGCTGTATAAGGACCTAAATCAAGACACCGGAAGCAACGAACGAGCACACGAACCCACGTCGGCACCAAACTCAATTACCCCGTTCACCATGGAAGAGCTGATAGCAGCATTGCGCCAACTCAAATCTGGAAAATCTACCGATACTGGGGGTATTGCTGCTGAGATGTTGAAACATGGCGGGTCTGACTTACACGAGGTACTTCTTATGATGTACAACGACATAACCACCCGAAGGGCACCGCTACCAGATCCATGGAAGCATACCGTCGTAAAAGTAGTGCACAAGAGTGGCGATGCGAAGCTGCCACAAAATTACCGGCCTATATCGATAATACCGATGCTATACAAATTCTTCTCTCGCTTAATATTCAACCGACTCATGCCACTCCTAGATGGGCGTCAAAGCACAGATCAAGCTGGATTCCGCCCGAAGCGATCAACCACCGACCACTTGTTCACGATTGCGATCCTGCAGGAGACGGCAGACGAGTGGCAGATTCCTCTCTGGACCGCTGCCGTTGACTTCAAGAAAGCCTTCGACAGCGCCACCCACCGCGGCATATGGGACGCGCTCGAGCGACAGGGAGTTGATACATGTTACATCGATTTGCTTCGGAATCTATACTCCGGGCAGACAGCATGTGCTCGGACAGACCGCACGAGTGCCCTTTTCACGATCCAACGCGGTACCAAACAGGGCGATCCGCTAAGTTCACTACTATTTAACAGCGTGTCGGAGTATGTCTTTGGACGTCTGAAACAAACATGGGCGCGAGCTAACATGGGCATCCGTTTACATCCTGTTCGCAGAGAGAGGCTGACCAACTTACGATTTGCAGACGATATTCTGTTCGTGGCGCCGTCACTGCACCAAGTGGCCCGCGTGATTGGAGATTTGTCTGAGGAGGCGAGCAGGGTGGGCCTAGTGCTACACCCTAGCAAAACACAAATTCTGCACAACTCCCACAAGACGACCTGTCGCCGGAAAATTCTGGACCACGTTCACATCAAAGGCATGGATATTGAGATATTGAAGGTAGATGATCATACGAAGTACCTTGGCCAAAGGTTGTGCTTCGTGGACCCGAACCGCTCGGAAGTGGAGAGCCGAATTGCCGCGGCGTGGGACAAATTCCATACTATGAAGCAGGAACTCACGGGTAAGAAGTACTCTCTCAAGGACAGAATACGGCTCTTCAATGGTGCAGTAACCCCTACTTTACTTTACGGATCTGAGGCGTGGGCACTGACCAAGGAGCTAGACAACCGAATTAAGAGGGTGCAGCGACAAATGCTACGTATGATAATCCACCTACCCAGAAGACGTACAACAACTACTACGCCGCCAAGATCACACTGCAGTACGCCGCGTACACCAAAGAGTACCCAATCATAACAGACAGATAGCGGAGGGGATGTGACCAGCCAACCTTCTCCTACGCAGGTTGGTGTGCAAGCAGACAGAAACGACGAAGAACTGGAGTTGGAGCCTTGGGCGGAATGGATTAAACGTTGCACCCGGGAAGCAGAACAACAGCTACACGATTTACATCTGGAAGATTGGTTTGCGATTACAACGGCGCCGGAAATGGAGGTGGTTCCAAAAAGTGGCCAGAGCACAGCATTCAGAATGGATTATTCAGGCATTATGGTGGGACCCATCCGAACATCCACGACTGAACGCTAAGAGGCGCAGCCACAGACCGAAAAGGAGATGGTTAGATGATATTTTCAATTTCGCTAAGCTTTCAGCTGGATTGTTACACGGAAAAGACCAGGCATTGCTACAGGAAGCAACCACCCCGCATGACGTACTGCACGTCCTATTCAAACTGGCCGGCACAGACGCTTGGCGCAGCTTGGAAGACGGATTTGCCGAATATTCAATGTAGAGCTTCTCATGTAAATCGGACACTCTGGAATCAGCAGATACCATGTGTGGATGCGATACCCAGAACACCTCCGCCCATCGAGATCCTGGGGGCCACTACCCACACGACTCCCAAAAGCTACGTCTTATCGCTGGCTCCTATCCCCAAACTTCCGACTCCTGCTCCCCTTTTCCCCCCTCGCACCTCACACCTTCCCCGTCCACCCCAGCATGTGCAACTTTGTGCAGACCGACGAGCACCAGCATGTGCAGACCTGTGCCGGCTCCCACCCCCCTCCCCGCCCTCCCCTGCATGTGCAGACCTTTGCAGACTGACGGGCGCCAGCATTTGCAGACTTGTGCCGACTCCCACCCCCTCCCCGTCCACCCCAGCATGTGCAGATTTGTGCAGACCGACGAGTACCAGCATGTGCAGACCTGTGCCGACTCCCACCTCCGTCCGCCCTCCCCAGCATGTGCAGACTTGTGCAGACTGACGGGCACCAACATGTGCAGACCTGTGCCGATCCCAATCTACTTCAAGCGCCTTCCTACTTGAGTTGAGGAGGCCTTCGCCGACTACTCTTTGTGACGGTACGCCGACAGAGGTGGACGACGACGCAATGCGGCCTCATTGCGACGGGATGGCGGGGCCTTCCGACTCCTGCCTTCTAACTCCAGGTTGCCACGATTCGGCGCATTTCCGAAGGAAGCGCCATTACGACAGAATCTGGCTGTTGTGACCCACAAGTCAAGGTTGCGACGATTCGGTCGCATTTCCGAAGGAAGCGCCGTTACGACAGAATCTTACTATTGGGACCCACAAGCCAAGGTTGCGACGATTCGGCCGCATTCCCGAAGGAAACGCCGTTACGACAGAATCTGGCTAGTGCGACCCACAAATCAAGGTTACGACGATTCGGCAGCTTTGCCGAGGTAAGCGCCGTTACGACAGAATCTGGTTGCGACGATTCGGCCGCAATTCCGAGGACAGCGCCGTTACGACAGAATCTGTTCTGGATCCCACCTTTTACCGACTCCGGACAGTGAGCGCATGGCCGGAATGTTCTTGTGTTTTGGGCGCTTCGGCCCCACCCTGCAGCACCCGCGCGGTGCACGATGCAGGCCGTTCCCATGTTTCACGTTCTTTGTTCCTGAAATTCCGTTGGGACTGACGGCGACGACGCGGACGAGGACGACGACGACGACTCAAACGGAAGAACGCCCCACACATGCCGAAGGGTCGGCGGATTTGTTCGGGGATCGATCCGCGCTCTTCGACTCCAGCTGCATTGGGCATTTCTTCGACTCCTGATCCGTCGTCACTGACCAAAATTTTAGCGTGCTTGTTCGCGCGACCACACGCACTGCCGACCTCGACCCATGAGTGACCATGCTTGTTCCCCGGCACCCATCCGCTGCACCCGCGGAGGCGCTCCAGGCGAGTTTGTTTTGTCTTGTCTTTGGGTCAACCCGTGGCATCTTATTTCTTGCAGTGCATGGCCAAGGCATGCTCGCTGTCTCTGCCCTGCCTGCCAGAGCTGCCCGGCAGGCGCATCCTCAAGGAGGTCCGAGGTGCGGGCCTTGCGGCCTCTGTGGCGCCGAAAACAAACACAAGGGACCGATCCAATGGTTGCGGCCCCAGAGCCCTTCCCATGAGGCAGCTCTCAATCCTGGATCCGTTTTTGAGGGCCTTGGGTCCCGCAAGCGGCCCCCATTGCCGTTGCAGATCTTTGGTCCCACATTTGACTACATGGTGGGGTCACGAGGCAAGGCGAAGCCCGGTCGAATCGAATCGGTCCGCAACCGGACGTGGGCATGAACTACAAATTCGTGTGGGCGATGGAAAATTAGCATGCAGAGTTGACCCAGAAGTCTTGCGCGTAGCCCTCGGCCTGCGCACTGCATTTCTTCTGGTCTCGAGCAGTGACGTGCCATTGTTTTACAAATGTTGCAAGCGAGTGTCTTTGCAAGTGATCGTCCCAGCGACATGCTGGACGGCCTCGTCCACGGCTTGCCTCGGGATAGGTGGCGGGCGGGCTGCAACTTGATACTCCGTACGCCTAGCTGCCGGGTTTCTGTCCAAGCTGGCCGGCGAAATTGCACTGCAGGTGGACCAACCGTTTCCGCCAATTGTGAACCGGGTCAGATGACAGCTTTGTTGGCCCGGTCGTTCATTCGACGCATCGTGATGTTCCAGCAAGGGAGTGAGAAACACGCAAGCGGCCCCCAGGAGGCCGAGACCGAGTAACGAAACGCCAGGAGATGAAGCAACTCACGGCCCCCGCTTGTCAGGAACGTTTGCTTAGCGTGTCGCGCCGTTGGCTCTGGCCCACCACGCTTCAGCGCGACACGCTAAGCACATCCCTGCTCCCAAGCATCAATGCTCCGAGCTTTTCCCAGCCTCCCGTCTCACGATACAGAGCGACACGCCATCAGCTTTCAAGGCATGGCGTGTCGCAGGGATCCGCCGCGACGCGCGAAGCAACAGTTCTTCCCCGTAGGCTGTCCGCCCCTGTCCCCAGATTTCCGACGTCGTAGTATCATCACGACGCGGGCCTCCCGAAGGCTCTCGGCGGATCGTCTTCTGATGCTCCCTGGGCCCTGCGCGGAGGGGCCCTGGGGGCGCGCGTGCCAGACCCTTGGGCCGGGGCGGCGGGGGGCGGCGTCCACGGCATTCGAGCCGAGGCGGTCGGCGGCGGAGGGCAGAGGGGCCCAGCACGGCGGGGGATGTCGGCGGCGAGCGGCTGCTTATAGTTGAGAGTGACAGTTCGCCGGAGTGGCCTTTGGTGCGGGCCCAGGGGGCCACCCCAGGACAAGCTTGCGCGCTCCGGTTTTGGCCTCCCACGCGGCCCCCTGAACCGCGCACCAGATATCATTCTTGCTTGGAGTCACTCGTACGAGTAGCCGGGGCGAGCTGTCGGCGGATCGTCTTTCGATGCTCTTCTGGCCCTCGCCACCGCGCCGCGCGCTTCGCAGGCAGGCCCGACGTGCAACTGGCGGCCGTGGAGGCTTCCGCGCAGCTCCGAGCGGCCGCCCCCCCGTCGGGGGCGTGTTTTGGCCGAAGATGCGAGGCCCAAGGAACCGTTCTGAGTTGGTCGAGCAGACTGAGGTCCACCGAGGAGCCGCTCCAGGCCATTTTTCCTCGGCCAGAAGACCGAGGGACGGCGACCGAGGTCCGAGGCACTGCGTTTCCTACGCGCCGCGGCGGCCGAGGAAACGGTCTTCTTCCTGGAAAGTTTTCGTCGCCACGGCTGGATTCTGGATTTCCCTCGAAGATTATAAGTCTGAATGCACCTCAGGAGAGGTCCGGACCGTGGAATAGCGAGAGCGGTACCTTTTTGCCCCCTCCTCCCAGGAGAACAAAGTAATTTTGTAAACTTAGACTTTCGGAGGACATGCTGCTCGTCCTGGAATGCCCTCGGCAACGAGCCCAGGGAGAATGTAGGGGGGCGGGCCTTCTCAGAAGGCTCGAAAGGCCTCGGGCTTCCTGAGAAGTTGTCTAAGCGTTTTGCGAAGACAGCGACGGTTTCTCAGAAGGCCAGAGCGCTTCTGAGCAGCCCCGTCGCCTTCTGAGAAGGCTTGCCGTATCTCCCTTCCCCACGGGCGCGCCGCCGGAACCCTCGTCGCCATGGCTGGATTTTCTTCGAAATTCTGCTCAGAATGCACCGCTGGTGAGGTCAACGCCGCCTGGCCGAGACCACAGGCCCGCGCGCAGCGTTCCACCAATTAGGCGACCGTGCGCCGTCGGGAACAAACGCTTAAGGTTTCGGTGGGGTTCGCTCGGGGCAAAATAAGTGTTCTGGATGCGTCGAACTGAATATGTTGTTTTGGAACTTGTCGTAAGGGTGTTTGGCCTCTACTGCTCACCGATATGGCTAGGTTGTGGGCCAGAGTCCTCGGGGATACTTCTTGGGGTCTCTTCGAAGCGTTTTCGGGGGCATCTGAAGGGCAAGAGACCCTCTCGAAGGTTTCTATGATGGCCTTGGGCACATTCCGCTACCGACCCGTGGCGGGGTTCGGTCGGCCAGAACGGAAAAGTTCGTGGCCCTTTGGTTTTTGAGTTTCTCCGGAGAGTTTTGGATAGCTCCTGGGGGGCAGTCTTGAAGCCTCTTGGGGGCCTCTTGGGGGCCTCCTGGGGCCGTTTGGGAACCTCTTGGGGGCTCTTTAGGGGCCCTCCGAGGACCTCTTGGGAGCCTGTTGGGGCCTGTGAAGGAACATCCGTGTCTAAGAATGCCTCTGACGCTCATGTATGTTCCATGCTAGCGTGATGCAAGCATGCTGGCTTTCTGTATACCCACAGGGGGGCCCTTGGAGCACTGCTGCTGTGCGACCGCCTCGCATGTTTGATCAAAGAACGCGAGGCCTTCGTCTCATCAGTCGGTGGCGTTGTGTGGCGGGGGCGCTTGTCACGACGGCGCTGTTGCGGAAGAGTGTATTTCACATTGGTGTGTGCGGAGCGGCGGTCCACGGCACCGCTACCAGTGCGGTATTCAAGACTACTCTGACGATCGCCTCCCTGGCTTTCACCGCCTTCGTCATGCCGCCGACGCTGTCCTTCGAGCAGGGAATCCCAGTGCACGATGGCACGCCAGAGTTGCTGGAAATGTACCTAGACAGGATCGACACGTTTCGCGTCGACACGACGGAGGATGTGGTCAAGAAGACGGGGCCGCCAGGCCCGAGGCTACAATGCCTTGAGAGGCGAAGCGTATAGAGCGGTCAAGGCCGCGAACATCGACAAGGTGGACTTGGGCACGGATTCAGGTAATCGCGATGGCGCTGAAGGCGGCCATCCAAGGGATCGGTCCGAATCGCGCGGGCGAGCTTTTCGAAAGGTTCTTCGACAGTTCGAGCCGACGCAGTGCCGAGGCAGTGGGTTCGTGGCTGACGAAGCGACGCGAGATTTGACAGCAGTTGCTGGGCGCTGCGGCAGCGTCTGCGACCCGAAGAAGCTGACGGAGGCCATCAGAGCGCAGTCCGCAGAGCCACATAAGGCCGAAGGGCGTCCGCGACACGGACACGAGCGCCGAGAAGGAAAGCACGAGAGAAGGTACGCCTATCTCGCTGAGAGACATGAAGAAGACGAAGCCGAGCCAGAGCCAGATGACGAATATGGAGACGACGGTGATTACGGCGAAGGCATGACGGATATCGAGGACGAGTTGAATGAACTACAGGAGGGAGTCGAAGCGGGCGACGAGGACGCAGAAGAGCAGCTGGCGACACTCAGGGAGTGCCTCGTTGCGGAGCAGGCTGCGCACGTCGCCCGGAGGGGCCTGCGCGAGCCCAAAAGACCACGCCCGAAGGTCCAATCGCCACGGGAAGTTGATGGACAACAAGCAGGAGACGGCGGAAGATGACATGGATTGAGAAGTTGAAGAAGAAGACCCGATGCCGAGCACGTGGAGCACCCGCTGGGCAGGCGATCCCGGCCGCGCCGAGTCGGATCGTTCGCCGCCGCCGCGCGGGGGCCGAGGTCGATTCCAGCCGCGTGGTGGCAAGGGCTGCGGCTGCCGAAGTAGACGGCGAGGTGGCGGCAGGAGTCAGAAGAGCTCCTCCGCCGTCAGCGGCGGCGCAAACGATGGCGCCGAGGAGGCGCGTTAAGCGGCCAACGTGGAGCCGGACAAGAAGCTGGGCGGGAAGCGCTCCACGTCGCCGAAGCATCATTGGATTATGAACCAGCCTCTTGGGCAGAGCGCGCTTGGTCCGATACCGGCGTCATCAGCGGCAGCGGCGGCAGTGCTAGCATCCCCGACGCCGAGCCCGACGAGGGCGCGCGCGGACGGCAAGGGCGCGGCCAACGTCGAGGCGCCGGGAGAGCAGCGGGCGCCGATCAGGCGCAGAGGTCCTGAAGATGCGCGGCGAGCCCTGAGGCATAGCAGTTTGGGTGCATGCGTTGGCCGAGAGGACCGCGCTCGAAGCTGTCGGCGCTGCCCCAATGCGACAGTCGCGGCGACGCCCAGTGGAGCGAGCGGCAGTGGGTCGCAAGCAAGCAGAGCGCGGATTGCAAGTGAAGGAGGAACGACTGCCCACATGCGAACCAGAGGAGTGTGCATTTCGGTCCAAGACGACCGCCAAGCGCCAGCGACTCCAGAGGCAAGTGCGCCGGGGACGCCGAAGACGGGTGGCAAGTGCGACGCGGCGGAAGGTGAGATCAGGCTGTGGCTCGTCGAACAGAAGTGGCCGCCTGGCGGTCCCAGACGGCGCCGACGACGCCCCGATGGCGGGATGGTGCGAGGCTGTAGGAGCCAGCATGCCATCGCGTGGAAGTGTGACCGCGGCGCGCAAACAGCAGACAGGCACTTCCCGACGAGCAAGAAGTGCCGTCGCGGACTGATCGAGAGGTGTATCAGCGACATGTCGATCGCGGAGTCCGGGGAGCAGGATTTCGACGAGTTCGCGGCCGCGGCTGGTGTCATTGACGACCGGAGTGAGTGTGGCGACGACGAGATCGCTCGTCTGGACACGATGTGCAAGAGCACCGTGCGCGGCGACGAGTGGCTGGAGCGGTGCTCGGCGAAGCTGAACGAGAAGTATGGGTGTTGCATTGATCAATGCTTACCAGCCAATCGGGACCGAACCCACCGCGCCTCTGGAGAGTGTCGAGGGCTGCGGTCCGCTGCGGCCCATGGACGGGCGCGCGTTGAGTTCCTTGTTGGGCGCGGGCAGAAGCGAGATGAACCGACGTATGCCAGCGCGTCCGCAGCCTTTGAGGCTGGTGATTCCGTCGATGGTTATAGCGCGCGCGCTCTCATTGCCGGCGTCGCCAGACAGGGAATTGCAGGTCCGCGCTCGCCCCTCGGGGCCTGGTCCCGTTCCGAACAAACACTGCTGTCCATTTAAACATTCAGTGTGGTGTGCCTTTGGAGGCCTCGCGATGGTTCGGCGCTGATCGGGGACCCTTTGCAACGCGAGGCGGTGCGAGCATCGCGCGGGCGCGTTGGCGGGTGATCCCGCTATGTGCTTGGCGCGGCTTGTATTTTTGTGATTGTCGTTTTGCGCGTGCAATGTGCCCGGCGTGGCCACTGCGCCTCGCGTGCCTGGCGCCCCGCTGGTTTGCCTGGCGCGCGCGCGCGGCGCGCGCGCTTGCCGCGGGTTGCCTTCGATGTGTTTTTGCTTGTGTTCCCTGCCCTCCAGCATTTTCGGCCCTCGCTTTGAATTCGCGGCGTTTCGCGCCATATCCTTTCTCCTCTACTCTCCCCCCCTCTCCTCGTCCTCCTCCTGATATTGTTCCTCCCCGCTTCGTTTCCTCATCGCCCATCCCCTTCCTTCTTGCGCGGTGGGCTTTCGGTTTGTAGCCGCGCCGAGGCAATTTCAGCACGCCCTTCGCGCCGCGCGCTGTTCGTTGTCCCCGTGCGGCTTTTCATTGAAAGTCCCTGTGGTGTAAATCGTATGCTGATGCCGCAACAAGTCAGGCACGCCGTTAAGGCCCCGTGCGCATCCTTGCCGACGCGTTGTGGTCGCGCGCCGCCTCGCCGACCATTCCAGAACCATTTTCACAAGGTCGGTTGCCTCATAAGGAGCTGAACCGAGATCCCACAGAGCACAGGCCGCGCGCCGCCGCCCAGACTCTTTGAGGGCCGTTTCTCTCGCGGTTTGCGTCTCCATATTTTTGGAGCTCCATTGAAGGCCCCTGCGGCGCAGGCCGCGAGCCGCGTCCGGGCCATTTCAACGCGCCCGCCACGCCATTCGTGTCCCCATAGGGACTGCCACCGAATGCTTTGTGGGATAGGCAGTTTGCCACCGCCCAGACCGTTTTAGTTCATTCAATGTACGATTCTCGGACCCCCGCGGAGCTGTACCACATGTATTGATGTTGCGCAGGACGCATGCCACCGCGCAGACCGTTGCAGCACGCCCATCGAACGGTTCGGCGCCCAATCATACGAAACCCCATCGAAGGCGTTTGTAGCGCAGGGCGCGTGCTGCCGCTCACACTCGTTTAAAACGCCAGCCATGCGTTCCGTGGCAACATGAGGGGTTCTGCCGAAATCGCTGGTGACACAGG